TTTATGAATTCGTTTCTTTACAAAAGAATTTAAATTGCAAAACAAGTATATATATTACGAAACAACCTGAAAAAAACTTCAAATAAATACATTAAAAGAAATCTTATGACTTTCTGCTATGAAGGTTCAAAGTTTCTGTTGAGATTTAACTTAAATAGAACTTTATATTCTAGTTAAAAGGTTAACCTCTAAAATTTTGATAAACTTCATAGTATTTTTGTGCGCTTATTGTTTTAGAGAAACATATCATAAATAATATAAAATTGATTATAGTTCATTAATTTAATAATTCATATATTGAATATCCTTACTCTTTGTCATCCCAATATACCAAATATTACCCATTATTTGTGATAGCTCCATAAATATCGTATGTGTTACAATTCAATTAATCCTAAATTTTGTAGTTACCATCATTAATTTCTCTGATGATATAAATATATGTCTTATGCCTTACTATTATCAAATTCCTCTCTTTGTTATAAATAATTGGAAAACAATATTCATCAAAAATTTGCTCATTTTTAGTTAATTGAATTGTCTTGTCTTAGTTTTCTTAAAAGACTCCTTATTCTAATTCAAATACATAAATCTTATCTATTTGTTTACCACCAGTTATCCAAATAAATTAATTGTCTTTAATAAACTTAACCTTAAGCCCATATTCTTAAATTGATTATTTAACAAAATATTTGAATTTAAACTGATCATTTTCTGTCCTTTCCCAAATAATAATTTCATTCTAACCACATGCACAAGATACTAATTAATTTTCTGATTAGTTTAAACTTAACGATGTAACAAAATCATTATGTTTATCTAATGAATACAGAAATGTTAATTAATTTTGATTAAAGTCAACCCTCCAAACTTTGATTGATTTGTCACCACTTCCAGAAAATAGTAAATCCTCATTTTAATTTAATATGATACATCTTACAAAATTTGTATGTTCTTAATAAGGTTATGAACTAATCCATTCAGTTTAGTTCATTTATTACCAGCATCTTATTGTTTCGTCTGAAGAACATGAAATAAACGAATTCTATTTTTTACTATAAACTAAACATTAGATCCAACTAGTATGTCCTTACAATGTTTTTACTAATTTGATTGTTCCATTTAGAAAACTCCACACTTTAATATCATACATTTGGGTTGATATCATAATTGATCCAGAAGAATCAAAAACTATTACTTTACATAATTCCAATTATTTGACAGATTAATCAATTAATTTTAATCTGATCTCGTGTTTTTTTATTATTACTTATTTTTCATCATTAGGTTATTATTAAAAACCTTATTCCTATAATTAACTTTTATTAAATTTCTAAGAAGATAATTCTAAATTTGATAATAGTTCTTTACATTTTGTATAGCCTTTAAATGTATTAAATTATTCTAATTTAGGGTGTAGTTTGGAAGTCAAACAGTGATTTATTTATTAAATTTCATAGGTTAAAAATTACAATTAATCATCAGCTTTATTTTATTTTTATAACATAATTTATAATTCCTCTTAAAAACTATAACGATATTATTATCCTTTTTATTGTAGGCTTTAAATCCATTCCTTCAAAATACTAATCGATTAGTCAAATTATTAGATAGCAAGTGATTTCATTTGATCTACTAGGCAATGCAATTACTCAATTAATTATATTTAGCTGGTTACTAAATATTATACTTTTTCCATCTTTTTTATCTAGCCTTCCTCAATTAGTGAAATAATTTTCTTTAATCCAACTACTTTAGCACCTAAGTCTGTATTCTCTAAACATTCTGTACATAAGAGTCTTTAATTCATTGATATATTTGGATCAAGTGCAATAGTAACGACAGGTAGATTATGTCCTTAAGAACATGAAAAATCTTTTTCATTTTCTATCATTTCTGGTTTAAACATTTAATCAAATTAATATAATTTATTGACAATTAATCAATATTTATATTAAGAAAATAATACAAAGAAAAAATTTGACTTGGAAATCTTTCCTTTTTATAATCTTTACTCAAATAATATCATAGAATAGC